CAAAGTGTTTGTTTTAACCAGGGAACAGTGAAATTAATTAATTTCTTTTTGAGCACCATTGGTGGAGATGTGCGCTTTATAAATCTTTATTTAAATTATAATTATTATTATTATTATTCCCTGATTTTAACTACTGTACTATCATTTTTTTTAAATATTCAGCAACCGATCAAACTACACCTCGAAAGGAACAAACAAAAGTGTCTGGAAAAAACCTCAATTATAAGGACACAAATGTCGGGATCAATGACAAACCAGAGTCGGCTAATAATGGTAAACAAAATGTTATAATTACGGTCGCCGCAGTTGGTACACTCATGTTCATATTGTTAATTGTTGCTGTTATTACGTGTATGGTGGTTTTCCGCACAAAATCGAGGAACGGACGAGATCAAGTGGAAACCCCAATGAGTTATCAAGAGGTATGAACGATTTATATTATACGATTTATATTTACATGTATATTTGTCCTTTTAGCGAAGATTCACGATTTAAAAGACAATTATACATATTTGATATTAATTCTTACCCATTTTAACCACAATTAGTTTGGTTTACGAATTAACAGAAATATTTGAATCAAGGACGGGCTTGTTTAATGTACAAAGGCCTAGTTCAGACTAGATGGATAAACCCGGCTCAAATCACCAGGTTTATCCACCTGCCAGTCTGAACTAGGTGGCTTATCTCAAGCCGGGCTTTGTTCCTATAGTAACCAGGCCTGGCGCGCCACCGTCTTTAACTTTTCTAAGGCGGGCTTTAGTCGTTTGAAATAAGCCAACTAGCTCAGACTGGCACGTGGATAAACCCGGTGAGTTGAGCCGGGTGTATCCACCTAGTCTGAACTAGGCCTCAGATACCGGGGACTCACTACGCACGACGATCGTCAAAGAACGCAACGCGACGACGCGCGCGCAACGGATCGTTTAATGACGATCATTTCAGACTACTGCTACCGACAATCAACAGGCGGCGTTGCGTCGTCTATCGCTCACAGGGAGCGGAGTTGGATTCGTCGTGCGACCGTCGCACGACGCAGTGAGTGCCCGGAATTACCCTGAGATCGAATTTGATAATTTGTTACTTTTAGTATAAACTATTGCTTTGCGTATAGAATACTATAAAGAAATAAATTAAACAATGCAAGCCTACAGTATTTTAGTTGGTTTTTTTTAAGGACACAAATTGGATTATGTACCGGTGTATAAGGAAATAGATGGATAATATAAACAGTGCTGTTCCTATTTGAGCAATGTTATTATTATATATCTATGGATTGGGTTTACGGTGATACGCAGCAAAACTAATTTGAATATTATATAAATATAGAAGTAGACCTCTAATTGTATGTGAATCCATATGTTTAGCTACTTCGACAGCGATCTATGGCAAATGACTACGACAGTGGCGTGGCCCAGCCCCGGTCTCCGAGCCGACTTCCCCTATCGCAACAGGGAAATGTTTTTGTGTTCCCCACGCCGTCTCCTCCGTTATCACCAGGAGCGTTTGGGCCTATGTCCCCCTTATCACCTAGTTACTCGATGAAATCGCAACTTTCTCCACCACCGACATATTACCAGATACCTTGGAAGGACATGGTGCTTGAAAATATCATCATAGCCGAAGGAAATTTTGGTCAAGTTATGAAAGCTGTCATAAAGAAGGAGGATACGGCTATCCAGGCTGCAGTGAAAATGTTAAAAGGTGAGCTGTTTATCCAGCCCACAAACTTTTTAGTACTCTCCCAACTATATTATTCAGTACACTATATATTCCTTCTGTTATCAACAATTTGTCTCTCATGAGTGCGCGTCTTATGTAAATGAGTTACACGCAGAGCATAACAGCCTATCACATAATACAGGCATGGATGTTTCATTTTAACATGTTGGCACTGCCAGCTGTATAGCTTTGAACTTAAAAGGCAGTGTACTTGGTGGCCGTTTTTACTTAAACTATACAAATAGGAAGAAATAAAAACACTTAAGCCTAGTATATATTACTAATAATTTAGCCTGGTTTTAAAATTTCGTTATTTCTTTTGATACTTTGTTACAGCGTCACCAGTAAGGTACAAAATAAATGAATCACTGTGACACTTTTACCGTAATGATAATTGCGTGTAATAAAGATTAAACATTTTAAGTGTTTCACCCTTATTGCAGAAGGAGCAACAGACAACGATCGTCGAGATTTTATTGGAGAACTGGATATAATGTGCAAAGTTGGTTATCATCCAAATATAGTGAACTTAATTGGTGCTTGCGAATACGAAGGTAAACAGTGATGAATATACATAGTTCATAATTGGTGGTAAACCAATTCAATTTCAATTCAACAAGTCCACTTGTTATTTAATTTCGTGGTTTAAAAGGAGGAAAGAAAGAATTTACTTATAATAGTTGTACGGTAGTACACTTACTAATGATATTAATATCATTTAAACAGGGGTGCTGTATGTTGCGACTGAATACGCTGAGCATGGCAATCTTTTAAACTATTTACGTCACAGTCGCTGCATGGAAACTGATCCAACTTTTGCAAACAAAACAAACATGTCATCAACACTATCAGCAGAAGACCTTCTTCAGTTTGCGGCCGATGTAGCGCTTGGTATGAAACATCTTTCTGAAAAAGGGGTACGTAAAAATTCTACCGTATATTTCCATTCTATAACACCCTCACCCTCTCCCTCTCCACATTGCAAATTCGAACTACTGTTAATTTATTTAAACTTAAAAATATCATGCTAATAAATGTTTATATTTGCAAATTAAGTAGTTCATTAAACCTAAAATTTGGTTGCAGAAAAATTATATATTATATTATATTAAAGGCAAAAAATCTGCCGAAGTAATTTTATTCAACAAACAACAATTAAAAATGCATGTATTATCTTTTTATTTGTACAGATTTTACACATCCTTGTACCTCCATTTTCATTAGATTAATGCAGCGCGTAGCCTCATTTACATTTTACGTGCATTGATTGGTAGGATGATGTATTGCACGCGTTTCTACTACGTCATTTTGTGAGCTAATCACTTTTATAAGTCAATCGTGACGTCATCACGTCATCATAATGTTATTTGCCTATTCCCCTTCGTCCACTAATTTTTCAATTAGTGGACGCTTGGCTTAATTTTTTTAAATTCGTGTGCAAAAAAAATATTCCTCATTTTTTCGTCACCGCAAAAACATTATAAATATAAAAAATATTATGTAATATTTGAATTACTTTTTTAGTGCGTACATCGCGATCTTGCTGCAAGAAACGTTCTCCTTTGTGAAGGGCCGGGACTCAAAATGGTGGCTAAAGTAACCGATTTTGGTTTATCGAGGAGTGAAGAAGTTTACGTTAAAACTACAGCTGTAAGTCTCAAGAAAAATGTATTACAACAATTAAGTAAACCAACCATCACCATAAATGTTATCTCTTATACACATCT